CCTGCAGCCTGTGATCACTGCCTGCGGGCTCTGGAGACGGCGGAGGAGAACGCCCAGCGCCTGCTGGGGAAGAGCTCTCTGGTGCTGCCTCACCCAGAGCAGTGCAGCACCCGGAAAGACCTGCACCAGCAGTGCCCCCGATGCCAGGTACGGGACTGCCGGGAGGGAATGCCATCTTTCTGGGATTCCCGAGCCAGGCACCTGCGCTGCCCAAGATGGGTGTCTGCCTTTCCACGCTCCGGCCGGTCAGGGAGGGGGCACAGCTGGCACAGCTGGATGTAGGATCCCGTTTCCCTGCTGCCGGAGCCAATGCCGGGCGCTGTCCCCCCGCTCTAGGTGACGTACTGCAGCGCGGAGTGCAGGCAGGCAGCTCTGGAGCAGTACCACCAGGTCCTCTGCCTCGGCCCGTCCCGAGATGACCCCACACACCCCCTCAACAAGCTGCAGGAGGCATGGAGGTAAGGCACCGACCTGCCTGTTGCTCCACAGGCAAAGGAGGTGGTTCTCCTTGCTTTGCATCCCTGCATGGGGTGGCTGGAGGGTGGGAATGCCCCTGAAACGCTGCCTGGCTCTCCCTGCTGGTTGGGTGAGTTGGTGTGGGCAGCGCACACGGCTGAGTAGTCCTTGTTTTTCTCCCTGTAAAGAGCTACAAAGCTCATTCCTGCAATTTTATGGTGCTCCTGCAGCCTCTGGGGATCCTCTTCACGAGTTCATAAATTGCTGTCCCTGCTTGCAAAAAAAAAATCGGTCCCAGAGGGGAGAAGCGACATCCCTGACCCAAATCTTGTCTAAAACCCCAGCTGGGCCTTGTGTGGGACACAGGGCGAACAGGATGGGAGGGGATTGTTTGTATGGTTGGAGCAGGGAGGTGGATGCAGGTTTCTCTGCTGGATCCCCACACAGTGTTCCTGCAATGGCCACTTTGGTGTGATGGATTAGTACAGGCCTGACCACACGAGTGGCAGCTGCCTGTGCCTCCCTCCAGCTTTTTATTTCCATACCAGCCCTGCTCTGCTCATCTCTTCTTCATTCTTATCCTGCAGGAACATGCATTATCCCCCAGAGACTTCCAGCATTATGTTGATGGCCAGGATGGTTGCCACCATCAAGCAGGTGCGTCAGCAGTTTGGAGCTGCAGCTGCCCGTGTGTGGTTTCGTTATCCCACTGTGGATGTTTTCCCAAGGCTCTGGTTCTTTGGCCTGGCTTTCTCAGTGTTTTTTCTGACAATATTCCCTCTCTCTGGGCTGGGGAGGAAAGCAAGGTTGGTGCAATGCCTCTGCTTGATTCCTTTGTCAGGCTAAAGACAAGGAGTGGTGGATCAAGGCCTTCTCCCAGTTCTGCAGCAAGACAGCAAATGAAGAAGAGGAGATTGTGCACAAGCTGCTGGGGGACAAATTTAAGGTAAGACCCTGGCAGCTCTTGAATTCCCAAGCCTGCCCTCTCCCACCTGTGTCTGTGAGCCCAGAGGTGCAGAAGCTCTGTTACAGCTGGGATGGGAGGCACTGGAAATTCCAGGCTTAAAGTGGGGGCCCTGACAGTCAGGAAATGAGTTGCTCAGAGGGCTTTGGGCTCGTGGTGCTTCCATGGGATGCGCTGCTCCTTCCTGTGGGGGAGATGCTTTGCTGTGGGCTGGGCCAGGGTGATATTTAGCTGCTGAGTAGGTGGCTTTTGCTGCTAAAATGAGTGGCTTTTGCTGCTGTGAGGGCAGCAGCCTCCAGCCCTGCAGGGAAGGATGAGGAGCCTGAGCCTTGTGGCCTGTCCTGGGCCAGGCCCTCAGCCTGGGGCTGGCACCCAGTGACAGTGACATCTCCTCACCCCGACTGTGCTCCTTGTCCTGCCAGGGCCAGCTGGAGCTGCTGAGGTTGCTCTTCACCGAAGCCCTTTATGACGAGTATCTCAGCAGGGTGAGTGGATCTGCCTCCCAAACAGCCTAAGGAATCTGCCCATTCATTCCTTGCTTCCCCCAAAGCTCCCTGTGGGATTTGAGGCACTGCAGAGTGGGGTGATGCTGCAGGCTGGCCTGGACTCAGTTCCTTTCTCCTCTCCTTCCTGCAGTGGTTCACTCCAGAAGGCTTTCGATCCCTCTTTGCCCTCGTTGGGACCAATGGCCAAGGCATAGGAACCAGGTAAAGGGGCTTTGTGGAACCAGGTAATGGGTGTTCCTTGCAGGGCAGCAGAGATGTAGAATGTAAATCCATGCTCTCCTGAGTAAGGCTAGGTTTCAGAAAGGGGAATGGAGGGAAAGACTTGAAAAACTTTGTCTTGGCTGTGTCCAACCCTTTGGCATACCTCTCCCACCTTGGCTGCTCAGAGCCACCTTGGATCTCCTCTGTGGGATCCCACCATGTGCTGACAACACTGTGGGACCAT